CCAGCCCTCTGCCTCCGAGAGCAAAATTTCATTCAGGCAGAAAAGAATAAAGATGATATGGTATCATAAATACGTTTTCATAAATGGAAGCATTTTTGACAGACTCAGGTGCAAACTTTGAAGGGATGTTTGGGCATAAAGGGCCTTGTGAAGAGAAGAGAGTTCGCACGATGTTTGCACATGGCCCTTTGAAGAGACGAGGCCAGAGCAACTGCTTGTACATTTGTTTTCTTCAACAATCACATGCCACTTAGTAGTACTCCTGATAAGTCATTTATGCCTCTGAAGTCTGAGAGCCCAAGAATGCAACATCGACACTTAAGAATGCATTCTTGCCTAAAAGTAAAAGACCTCCAAGCAGTCCTCCTCACTACATTCTCGACCAGCAAGACACGGGAACTGATGAAAAAAATGCCAATTTCCTGCCCAGTCGTTTCTGCCAGCCATCAGCACAGCCCACAAAGAAGAAACAGAAGCAATGCATTTCAGAAGCCCTCAGCATTCGCCAGCAGTAGAATCATCTCAGCAGCACTCCACAGACGGGAGAAAGCAGGAGCCACCTATCTGCCTAAGCAAACCAGGAATGTGGGTGCTAGACAGAGGCCCAGTGGTCATGTGTCCAGCCCTCCTCGTTTTATCAGAGAGGCAGGTCAGGTCACCATCTAACAGGATCTGAGGCTCTCTTTCAAACAGTACCAAATAAGCTCAGAAGGGTTACGCATCCGTGTATGTTGCAGCTCTCTCCCGTAACAATGGCCTGAGGGGGCTGTAACACCCCCTACATTGATTCTAGGTGAAGCCACGGGCTAGTCATTCATTCTCAAAGCACAATGCCTCAAAAGAACTAAAATGAAGGACAAAATCAGTCAGTTCTCCGTACATCCCTCCTGGCCTCACTCTGCTTGAGCTTCACGTAAAGGGAACAGCCCAAGGTACAACTTGTGTGGAGGGCAGAATCTATTAGAATCATGAAGGCACACAATTCCTTTGACCCGGCAAGTCAATGGTAAGGAATCATCCTACAAATCATTCGTGTAGACCAAGTATTGTTTGCAATGGCAAAAGACTAAGCTTGATCTAACACTCGAATGGAAGCCAGCTGAATTAACCAAGGTGCATCTAAAAATGACATCAGGAAGCTCTTTGTCATAAGAACTCCAAGAGTCCAAAAGACTGTTGTAGGAAGAAGCAAGGTACAGAGCCATAGTACAGCATGTCACCGTATACATTTTAAAAAGAGGGACTTGATGGCACACATGGTACATTGCTTGTAAGTGCAGGAACCACCTTGGAAGGACGCTCAAGAATGGGCAACACTGATTTGGCTCCAGGAGGAGAGAGATGACAGCAGTTTGAAAGGTGAGGGAGGAGTCTTACTGCCACACATCCTTCCTTCCTGTCTTTGGATTTCTGAATCAGAAGAATGCATTACCTAGTCAAAAAGTACTTTTTAAAAAAGATGCTTAAAAATCCCATCTTTTAAGAAAGGGCAAAAATGGACAATAGCCATGCTCCTATGACTTTGTATGGCCAAAGAAAATGCTGGTAAACAAGTATGGCCCCCAAGTCTCACCTCTGAAATCCAACACGGTAGCCTTCCCCCTGGGCACTAACTCTCAGAGCCCTTCTACTTGTGCTGGAGAGACAGCTGAGCCAGTTCTAATCACAAGCCTTTCCTTAAAGACCCAGTAGAGAAGCTTTGGCTGTATCACTTGGTTTTGTTTCCTTTGAACACTATGATTATTAATGGAGCTGGGTAACTTGACAAGTACCAGTTTGCTGAGAACCGTGTGCAGTGCTGTCTGAGCGCTCAGTAAGTACCTGTGATGATGCACCATAGGCTGGTTGACCAGACAGGTGAGTGGATGAACTTGAACCACTGTTACTCATGCCACTGAGGGGCCTAGAAATGCTAACATGCTCAGTGATGGTACAAGGACATTCTCCAACAAAACAAAGCTCATATCTACAGTACTTCTGTGGGTGAGAGACACTGAAGTTCCTGACTACATTTTATTTCAGCACTTGGAGTTCACTGTCTACTTTTATCATAGTCAATAATGCGCCACAGCTAAACCCCAGCTCTGTATCAGGTACAAATGAAGATAAACCAAACTCTCTGTTCTCATGAAGTCTTCATCTGAACCCTAGACATATAGGCCAGTGGCACAGATGCAAACCTGATGTGTCTCTAGCTGCAGGCAAACTCCACCGCAAATCCCCTCACAGCAACTAGATCAAAGGTGCTGGACTTATGCTGCCAGGCTGAAGCATGGATATAGCAAAAACGCAATGTTCACAAGCATAGTGATACTAAGCCTTGCACGTGAGACTATTTGGGAATTCTGACGATACATTACTTCACAGCAGGGTGATGCTAAAATTTCACAGAGCCACCCATGACATGGCTCAATTCATATGGAAAGGTCACACAGCAATTGTGTGTCTTAAAAAAGGAGTTTTTTCTCAGAAAGCAGAAAATCCACTAATGATAATCAGATGATAAGTTCTGCCTCCACAAAAAGTTAAATTCTACAGAGGAAGCTTGGCATTCAGCTCACTTGCGTGGGTAGCACCCATGCTGGAGGAACATCTCGATGCAAACTTATCAGTCACCCACACAAAGTGTCTGGAGGTTTGGTGCTATACTCAGAAAATATTTGGATGACTAAATGGCTACTGCCAGTTTTTGAACTGACACTTGGAAGCATTCTGTAGTAAACTTATTTCCACTTCTATCTTTAAAACATCAATGAGAAATATCAGGTAATACATTATACATTTTTGAGCATGAGTTTCAATAAAGTGAGTGTGTTCAGCCGATTCTCAAAATTAATGCTTTGAATTGGGCTAGAAATTGTGAGATGCATCCAAAATCACATCTACTGGCATCTATATCTAAAGGCTCCCCACACACTTTTGTGCTCCACTATCCCTTACCATTCAGGCTCTCAAATGTACCTGCTACAATTACATCTCTACAGGAACGAAGCCATCCACATAAGTCAAAGAAAAATAGGACCTGCCGATGCAAATATCTATTAAAAATACAAAAAGGGACTAGAAGGGCATGGTTCAGTGGCAGAGCATATATGAAGCCCTGGGTTCCACCCCCAGCACCAATAAACAAACAAACTGGATTAGGAATATGAAAATTTTAAAGCAGACTAGTATTAAATGTAACTATCACAACTCTAAAAATAAGTGAGATAACAAAGCCTTGAAGGCATCACAGATGAAAAATGAATACGCAGCTGGAGGCCAGTGGCTCACACCTGTAATCATAGTTACTCAGGAAGGAGGCAGAAGTCAAGATGACTGCTGTGAGAAGGCAGCATAGGCAAATAGTTCATGAGACCCTATCTAGAAAACACCCAACACAAAAAAGAGCTGGTGGAGTGGCTTAAGTGGTAGAGCATCTGCCTAGCAAGCATGAGGCCCTGAGTTCAAACCCTAGTACCACCAAAAAAAAGAATAAGGAAAGTTTCTCCTCTCAACAAATGAGCTCACCAGGGATGGGAAAAGAAATTCTTTCCAGCGCTGAAGAAAGAAAACTGCCTTCGTAAACAGTTCCTTCTTCTTCCCTCTTCCAGGGAAGACAAAGCTCGGGCATTGTACCATCACAGACTTTGCAGCTAAGCTGTCCTGGATCTACTCCAAAAGAACAGGCTGACCCCAGCACAGAGGGCTGCCTTTTCAGAGACATCGAAGTACACCACATGTACTTCTTCCTGCATGAAGAATATGTTACCAGACTTCAGGATGCATCAAGTCTTGAGTACTAACTAGGTGGCACCTATAGAAGTGAGATTTGACCTCATAGGTCAAATACATAAAGAAAATAACATGTAAAAATCACTATCAGAGAGACAGAGAGAGACAGAGAAGGAGACAATGCTGGTTGGCTCTCAGACCCCAGACACTTAACACTTAGGGCTGCACATACATCCTTTCATTGGCTCCTATGACTCTACAAAGACAGCAGTTTCAGGAACTCCACTTTACCAAATGAGGAAACTGGCATAAGGATGGTTAAGCAATCTGCCTAAGGTTGCACAGGGTAGTAGGTGACAGGGCATGGTTCTGCTCCAGTTCACACCACTGCTGTGTGAAAGGGGGCCGTGCTTCTTTAGGAAGAGATGTCATCAAAGGGACCTTTGGCTCAGATGCTCCTTCCCAGGAATCCCAGGGGAGTCAGGAGTAGACAAACTGGAAGTAACATAAAACCTAACATAAACTTCATCCCTCTCTCCTAATCCCACTGGAAAGAAAAGAGTTCTATAAATCAAGACCAAGCCAAGACCAAGCACTTGGCTTACAGTCAGAATGGTAAAACCCTACAGAGTGGTACAATTCAGTCATCATTCAAAGAATTTCAACTAAAAACTTGTCTCTCTTCTGGTTCAGTGCAAAAGCAAGCACATTTACACACTGCTCGTGAGACTGTAAATTCAGAGTGCAGCTTGGCAGTGACCATCAGCATCTCGGTGCACATCCTGCAGATACACTGCACGAGGACTTCTGCAAGTGGCAATGCAGTGTAGCATTGTCTACGACGGCTAAGACAATGGGCGAGGGACTGGTACACAGCCTACGTCGGCACATGCTGGAACTCGAGGAATGTGCTGCATACAATGGTCTCTAAGGCATACTAAGTAAAAACACTGGATATAGAATAGTACCAAAGACCATGTAGTAAGTCTACAAAGATATGTTTGTAGACATACAAGGTACCTACATATGTGCATTAAACTTTTCTACATGGATACCTAAAAAGTATTCAGTTTCTTCTATGCGGTGGAGTTGAGGAAAGGAAAGAGAAAGAAAACACTTCATTTTATATCCTTTTGAAGTGTCTGAGTTATTTTGTACCATGCTGATATTTTGCCCTAATATACCTGAAAAGACAAAAAATGTCAAGAGCTTTAGTTTTTCAATTGTCTTCTAAAAAATAAAACCTGCACTCTTTTTGTTAACTGTACACAATGCTATCTTGGTACCTTGTTTCCTTCGTATACCCATCCCAGACTCTTCACACCAAAAGCAACCTGGGTGGCAGAGACATCTAGGCAGGTGACAGGCTGGCCATAGACGTAATGAAGCGTTCTGGCTGAGTCTTCAGCTTTTAGCAGGTACACCAGATCTCCAGCTGTGGCGATTGCCACAGGGTACCTCCCAGTGTCTGGAACTATTTCCAGGTAGTCAACCTGTTGAAGGATAACAGTTGTTTAGTTTTCTAGTGTCATCCTGATTTGGTCAACAGCAACCCAACTGAAAAAGATGGGCAAAGGAATCATTCATAGGAAATGAACCACAAAGAGTTTCTTATCCAAATGAAAAGGTGTTGGTGGTAACAGAAACACAATACATTCCTAAAAAGAAAACCACAAAGTGAAAACTCACTGAAACACCATTTTGTACCTGCCACACTGGCCAAGTGTAGAAGCACTGAGCTAGTTAGTAAACAGGGGGACACCATGTTTACGGACCCCACTTACTGTTGGTAACACTCATTCAGATGTCCAATTTGCTGTCCAAGACAGCAAATTAACTTTTGCTATAGCACTGTTTTGTTATAGCTAAACACTGAAAAAGAAAAGAAAAAAAAAAACTTAAGAGCTGGGGATGTAACTCAGTAATAGAGTGCTTGCCTAGCATGTACAAGGTTCAATTCCTAGCACTGCAAAAAATAAATAAATAAAAACTAAAACTGGGAAAACCTTACTATCCAGTACTAAAGGACAAATTTAATAACTTAAAGAACATCTGTCCATTGGAATACCATGCTGTTACAGAGGCAAACATGAGACTTCTTTATAAACTGACACAAATGGAATAAGCTGCAGACAAACTGGGAAGGGCAGGAAAGTAAGGTAAGGATTCCCAAAGTGCTAACACTGATGTGACAGGGACCAAGTGCGCGATGCACTTGACTGAAATCTAGCAGAGTCTGCCTTCATGGAGGGAACTGGCTCGTGAGATGAGGTAGAAGCAGAATTTCCCACTGTTAGTCTTACAGTGTCCTTCAAATTCTGAACCACGAGGGTGCAAATAACTATCCACAAAAAGGGGAGAGAGTATTGTTTTATAAGAAACTGGAAAAGTAAATCCAATTCACTTGGTTCCAAATTAGCTAAGTACACTTTAACAAATTTGTGTAAACACCAAAAATGTGTGTTTTACAAAAAAAGGATCAAAACATCTGAGTTACGTGTTCTTTCCTGGTGTGCATGTCAGGCAGTGACCCACAGAGGGTCCACAGCTTCGGTCCACAGCTGCCCGAGGGCAGGAAGGGCACTGCAGTGCTCCGTATGCACTCCTGCTAGCACTTTCTCCAATTTGCACGGACTGAGGAGCACCCTCCAAAAATAATTTGTTTTTCTGCATCCAGGAGTGGCACGTTTTTCCCTAGAGCAGTTTCCATCAGGCTTCCACCTGCCTAAGTAAATTATGAGCACGAGCACTGAAGGTGAACCACACTGTGTAATTATGAAAATCCATGGTGTAAAAGGACAGCTTTGCCTGACAATATAGCAAATGAGTTCAAAAGCCTGAGTGCTGAAGACTGTCCAGAAGAGCTTGGTAAACATCCGGTGACTGTGCTAATCCACATGCCCAGTCACGGGAGTGCTAGCCCGACATCCTGAGCCGCAGGCCCACCACAAAGACCCGCACTCTAGGCTAACACTGCAGACCTGGGAACACTGCCACTGCTATTCAGGGAGCATAACTGGGAAGACAAAAAATGGTCCAGCTCTATGGGCCACGGGGTGCATTGTGCAGGGATACCCGGCAACGTTTTGTGGCAACCTCTTACCCAGAGTAAGAAATAATATAAAAAGTGTTACTAAACAATGTCTCCAGCAACGGCTGCTTGTTTCCTCTCTCCCCTCAAACCCACTTCTTATTTTCCTAAAATGACATTCAGCCTGACCATTTAACTTCATCGTGATGGTGGATTTCTGACAGACCAAGAGGCTCAAATTGACAGCGGTTGTGCTGCTTGCTGGGAGCTGTGAACTACTTCAAAAAGCTTCCAGTCTGTGCCAGGATGCCACCTTATTGCCAAGGCAGGATTTGCACTTTAGAGAGTGACTCTCATCTCAAGTAATTGCCTCAGTTCTTGTAGTTGTGGCTAGGCTACATTGTCTTTTAGCCAGAGACCAAATAATGAGCACCATGGTAGTTTCAAGAACAGGCAGAAATATTGTACTTCCGCATTTTTCTAGGAAAATCCCAAGACGAGAGGACTGATTCAAGCAGCTTAGCAGGAACATGACATGAGAACTGCAGTGATATGACCCTCAAAGGACAAGTAGCTCAGGGAGGGGAGGCAAGGTGGTCACGTTAAGTTCTTAAGCAGTTGTTTTTTTTTTTTTTAAAGTCAATTAGATCTAAGGAGATTTCCACCAGGGATAAAGGAGAGAGGTAAGAACTGGTTCCAGCTTAGCCCATCGATCCATTATTCAATACTTTCCTGGCTAGTGTCAAGATCATTTTGTTTACCCTAAATTCAGCAGACACAGATGGACTTGAGTGCTTCCTTCTTACATCCAACTCTCCTACCACAGACGGAAGCTCACACAAACTCAACTCTGAAACATGCTGTCCGAAAAGAAGTCCTTAAGCTGGCTCAATGTTCTCAACCATGTCCTGGAACATGACTACCCAATTAACACTGACTTAAATCTATTCTCACTCAAGACTTTCTCTGACTTCCAGGTGAGACACCTTGGGTTGAAGAAAGGGTAGTATGGAAACCTTTCTTCCATATGGACTGGATGACACCACTGAACTCATTTTCACTTACATGTTGGGCCAGACACAGATCTTAGACTTTCAGGGGTGAGTGTCTACCATGTCAGTCTGAAGGAGGCTGAGGACAGTGGTGAGAATCCCTGAAGTCAACCCTGAGGTAGGGATCAAACCCAGGTCCTCATGAATGCTAGCCAAGCTCCCCAACACTGAGCTACAGCCTGGCCCAGCCCTGAGGTTTGAATCACAATGTCTTAGCTCAGAGACCTGGGACAAGTCAATTCACTGCTCTAAGCCTTGCTCAGCTCCCTGAAGAAAACTGTAGCAACTATTAAATAAGGAGGCCCAGGTGAATGGCAGTTGGTAACACCATTACTACTCAGTTTATTTTAGATCCAAAGATTCTAAGAATGGAAAATAAAATGACCAGACAAAAGGCTCACCAGTTTCTGAACTTCAAATTCTGCAGCTATCTGCCAGTGCCCTTCCTCACTGGGACACAGCATTACAACGTCAAAAGCAGAAGCCGTGGCAACAGTGACATCTTCCCGGCTGAGGGCTACGGCCTGTATCCTCGCATCATGCTCAAAACGATGAATGGGATACTTTCCAGTCCTCAGGTCCCAAACATTAAGAAATCCTAGGAATAAAGAAACAATGAGATTTCAAATTCACTTAACACATATGCCTACAAGAGAATCATGTAACCATTTGGTTCTTTAAGTTCACCGAGAGGCAGCTGCATGGAGATCACAGAGTCTGTGGCTATCTGCCCAAGGCCAGCCCCACTGCTTGCTAGCAGAACTAGGCAGAGGCACTCTGAAGCCATGAATCTTGATCCTCCCTGTAACACTGAAGACCAGAGGAAGCGAGCCTCCAGCACGCTGAGGATGCCCCTCTACTGTTCATCCACAAACCGAGTTCTATTTCCTATGACTTCTTACTGCCCAGAATAAAGCTATCCACTTTCCTTCTGTTTGCAACCTGCCTTCCTTCTTTATTATTTTTCTTGCCTTGTAAACTGGAAAATGGTTTTAATTTAGGCTCTTACTATAAAGTAACACTCAGCACACATAAGTAGAGTTAGAAGAAAATGATACTCTGGAGTTAAATGCTCAAAGGTAAAACACAGTGTACTCTTCTAAGAATTACAATAAACTGAGAGGATAAGAGGATCACAAGCGCTCCATGATACCTTCCCCTGGCAAAGACCTTGGCAAATTCTTTCCATTTTGACTCAGAGGCAAAAGATGTGCTATAGAAAGTGCCAGTGGTTTGACCATTAAATATGAGACGGCATCTCCTCTCCCAAGATGTCTCTTCTAAAAACTGCATGGCAGTTGTTTTGAGCCACCAAAACAAACAGTCAAGAGAAATAAAAGATGCCCTTTGCATTGAGTTTCCCAGTGTTGAGACCCTTGTTTATTCCTTTTCATACTGGGAGACGTGTCACTACACTAACTTTGCAAAAGAGAAGAAACAGAAGCTCTGAGTGGTTGAACAACTGGTCCAAAGCCACTTGGCCTGTGATGAGACTGAGCTGGAATTTAGCTAGAAAAGAGCAGGATGAGTGGCTCTATCTACAAGTATATAATATAACAATGGCTCCATGAGTAACAATGAACACCCCCAAACTCCCCTGCGTTCTGCCAAGCACGGAAGCTATTTAACCTCGACTCACTTGAAGCACACATGGAGTTTATCTATAAACATACTTTGCATTATTAATCAACTATTGGCTTTTTTGGCATCATTTTTTCCAACAGAACTGAATGCAATAAAAGATGCTTCACCACAAAGTTGAATTTTATAGAGGTACCATAAGAAGGTTCTGGAAAAAGATATTCTCGGGCTCTAATTTAATGGTCGCACTCTTTCTGAGCACCTGTTGTGCTACCAGCCTTTCCAATTTCTTCAATTACGGCACATATAACTGGGTCCTCACTTTCAACGGCATCACTGCACAGTCCTCCCACATCACTTTTGGTGCATAAACATTTAGGGCTGTTATGACTTCTTGAAGAACTGACCCTTGTCACATCTCTGCTCTGAAATTCAGTTTGTCTGCTATCAACATACCCACTTTGGCTTTCTTCTGATTAGCATTGCTAGATTGGTCTTTTTACTTTGCCTTCTGTCTCTCTATTTAAAGTGGGGTTCTTATAGACAGCATATAGCTGGTCTTGCTTTTAACTTCAGTGTTTAGACTACTACATTCAATGTGATTATTGATAAGGCTGCTTTAATCTACCATTTTGCTGTTTGTTTTCTGTCTGCCCTACCCATTCCTTGCTCACCTTACCCTGTTTTTTTCTTTTTTGTTTTGACTATTTGGATTAATTGAATACATGTTTATTCCACTTTGATTCCTTTGTTGGCTTATGAGTCAGAATTCTTTATTGTGTTATTTTGGTGGCTGCTTTATGATTTTAACACACATCCACTTAGCACAGTCTACTCTTAAGTGATATCACAGAACCTCAGCATCTAAGAACTTTACGGCAGTGTATGTCCATTTCTACTCTCCCAGCCTTTGGGCAACTGCTGTCATATTTTTATTGTTGTATCATGTTATAAACCTTACACACATTGTTGCTTTTGCATAAGCAGGCAATTATCTTTCAGAGCGATTTAAATATGAAAACCAGACACTTTCATTTACCCATGTGACTAGCTCTTTTGGTGTTCTTCCAAGATTACTTTCAACAACATCATAAAATCCTACAGCCTCAGCAAAGTTTGCAACATCACTATATTGCTGGGTTTTGGATCCCAAGGCACGGGGTGGGGATAGACTCAGCAGCTCAATGGGGGGGGGTGTTTGACTGAGGGATAATTTTATAAAGGTCAATTTATTAGTTAATATATTTGTATCAAGGCTGCACTTTTACAATCTGAAACTGCAGGGGCTTAAACAGTGAATACTTGAAGAATGAGAATGTTTTATACTATGATATCATGTTACTATGGAGCCAAAAAGGAATCAGCATAATAATTCATTCAGCCAGTAAGTACTGAGTCCCTGTTTTGTGCCTAGGCACTGGGAACGTTGCTGTGAGTAACACAAATTAAAACAAGTCCCTAGCTGTGAGGAGCTGCCATTCTAGTGGCACTTCCCAAGCATCTGCCTGGAAGCCCATGAAGGTGGAAGGAATTTGATCCCTGTTCTCACGAAACCCACACTGAAGAAAAATGAATGTCTGAGTGACTAAAATGTGAAACAATGCAGCACATAATCGGAAAGTACAGGCAAAGGGCAACAGGATAGTGGAAATGCTTAACTTTTTGTCATGTTGTCACACTATTTTCAGATCCAGACATTTCAAGTTGAACTGGGTCCACATTCACCACATGACTATTAAGGAGGAAGTGGTCAACGGCTGTCAGAGTCAAAGAAGTTCACTTTTAAAAATCTGAAGTCAATTCATTTGAACGACAAAGCTGTATCATGTTAAAGACACAGCAATAAAATGGAGTGGGCTTGACATTTGCGCACTACAAAGAGCATGAGTGTACCATTTCCCTTCCGATGCCCTCAAGCGGGCCAGTTGTCAGCGCAGGCTTGTATTGTGTTTTGGCAAACACCAGTTGGTTGTGAAAAACGTAAATCCTAGTGAAAGTGTCTCACACACAGAAGTTGCTGGCTGGAAAGGCTGAAGCTATGTCACAGAACCTAAGGGCAGGAAGTGCACCTGGAGGTTATAAGGAGTCAGAACCAGGAACTAAGAAGACATCTGAAACCAAGGCCTTTTGTGTGCACTACAGATCCTGTCTCTAAATTTGCCCTGCACCATTTCATTCTTCCTGTCTCTGCAGTCCTGCTTTCTCTTGTCTCCGAGTACATGGAAAACGGTACTCAGCCCGTTTACAAGATCTTCTACTTCAAGCACACAATGAAGTCTGAGTCCCAGTCCATGGAGGGGCCCCCACCCCTTGTCCAATCAGCTAAGGTCAAAAGATGAACTCAAATCCTAACAACGTGCCTACCTCTAGAGGAGCGGAAGGCGCATTGGAGCAAACTGACACCCAAAATTGTCTATTACAGTCATCCTGCATATTAAGCCAAGGTAGAACATGAAACTCTCTTAGCAAAAGCAAAGGGAGGCATAGGCAGCTGCTCAGTGCTTTAAGAAGCACATCTTCATTGCCATTTCCTGTACCTGGAATCACCCATCGGGTACGCACCCTCACAGCTGGAGACTATGGCCCCCATTTTGCCCCAAATCGAGTAAGAGAATGTACAGCAGGTGCCCTCCTTGCCCACTAGCAAAACCTCATCAGCTGGGAAAAGATGTTGAATTCTGATGGAGCACTGGGATGCAGCGACACCGTTTTGCTGGAAATACAAAAAGGATGCAGACAAAAGAGACTGGACCTTTCAAAAAATCTGAAAAACAACAAGGAGCGAGGGCCAAAGCCCCAAAAGTGGGCGGGGTGGAGCCTGGCAGTCCACCTGCGCCCTGGGCTCAGGACCCTACACCTTGCAGAGCAGCAGCTGGGCCAAAGGAACTCCACACTCACCCTAGACTCGTCATTAGCAGTGACATGAGTAACGAGGGCCAGGCTTTTGAGGAGACATAAAGCCTGCTCAGCAGCTGTGGATGGACACCCATGCCAGTCTGCAGCACACCCCTCCCACCTCCCAGAGGAGGCCAGCCAGAGTGTGGTAATGAAACTACACATAGTGGAAATGGGATCTAAATGACTTTAAACTGATTTATGTTAGCTTTTGTAAAGATTACTCGGTATCTGGAAAGTGCTACCACTGTGAAATAATGTTGACAATCCTTAAGACTGCCGCCTAATGGTACTTGCACAGAATATTTATATTCCTCGTCATGGGAACAAGGACCATAATGGATACCATTTTTGTTTTATTAGGGATGCATATTTAAATTAATCTGCTATTTGCCTAAACAATTAGCTGCTTCTGTTTGTGTGCACAAAGCCAAAATTGCAATTAGGCTTCCATCAAAAAGATAAGTCCCAACTAAAACTGTCCCAGTGGAGTCATAAGAGCTCAGGGCAGAACTTCCCAAAATTACTTTTTAGCATAATGGTAATTATGTTAATTGCTTGAAAGGTAAATAACTGCTGAACTGGTTTTGGAAAAAGATACAACTGGCATTACCCTCCCCTTTGATCTTTCCCATGCACCATAAAATTCAAACCAGGTTAACAGCTTAGAAAGTCATATGCTGCTCCCTTCCTGAGCTAGAGTTTGTCTTCTGTCCTTGAGGCCCTGTCGATCAGAACTTATTTTAGCCGTGAGTACCCAACCTCTGGAGCTTGCACAATAAACACCTGAAGTGCGGTCTCAGATTCATGATCGTTAAACAGACTGGATGGATTAACTGCGCTCAGAGACACTGAATGATGCTGACTCTTTCTAAAGATAACGCGATCTCAGTTATCACCATGAAGATAAACATGTCTGTCCAAGATTAAGCAGGAGTCAGAAGAAATTCTGCAGCAAGGGAAAAAGCATTTGAACATAAGTTTCAATTAGACCCATAGCACTCACTAAACACATAGGTCTTCATTCGTTAACTCCACACATCGCTCTGAAGTGTAGGCTGGAGATGTAAGGGAAGCATGAAGTTTGAGAGAACTGAGTTCTGCTCTCTGCTTGTAGGAGTT